GAGGAAAAGAGACACATCTGGAGGTCCGTACTTGCTGTTTTTTTACCATTTCTGTAATCTGCATTATGTTGTTTCCTTTTGTGTACACTTTATACAGGTAAGTAATGCACAGGGGATAAGAGGTGGTAGTCGAGTTGAAAATTCAATATATGACATTGTGGTGGGTCATTTCGGGCCCCCAACAATAGAATCTGGTCACTGAGAGATGCTATTCCTTTTGTTTATTGTTTCTTGATATGTCATAGTTATCTGTAACATATATAGACTTTGCTGTATAGAAAATCTTGTGTAGGTTCCAGCGGATGGGGTATTAATATCTGGCCACTCGCTTGCCCTTGATGGGTCTAGCATGACTGGGGAGATCAAAAGCTTGCATTTGTTGCCAATGATAGTGATGTTGGTGTTCATCTCATAATCTGCATTGTGATATGATGATTAACTTCTCTTTTCTTGATAGGTTCAAAAAGATGCTAGTAAGGACCCATTCTTAATGTCTTGTTGTAAAGTTGCAGATGACAAAGGTAATGCTTGGTAGGCTTCGTGTTTTTCTGTCTTTCCTCCTCGTTATTGTCCTCTGAATTATTTGGTTTGCTTGCATGAAAAAAATGGTTGATTATGTAAAACAGATGAAAAAAAACGATTACTAAGTTGAATGAGATGTGAAGTGTTGACTAAGGCTGTAAATTGTATTAATATGGTTACCATTGTATGATGGAGTCAGCATTGCATCTGGAATCATTCTTGTTTTAATTATTCTTGCTGTCATCATGACAAGTATTATGATTGTGGGTTGCAGTTAGGAACACTTATCTTCTTTCTATTTCATGTTTGCAGCAGTCAGTGACGTCAAACGCTCTCGGCAGTTTCAAAACCTGAACGATGAAAAGAGATGTACATCTGGAGGTCCAAACTTGCCGTTTTTTTTTACCATTTCTGCAATCTGCATTATGTTTTTTCTTTGACTTGCACTTTATAGAGGTGCGTAATGTACATGTGATAAGAGGTGGTGGACGAGTTGCAACATTGTGGTGGGTGATTCCAGGTCCCTCAACACTGGTAATATGGTAACTGATGGATGCTATTCCTTTTGTTCATTTTTTCTTGGTATGTTATAGTTCTTAGATTTCTATGAAATCTTTGCACAACTCACGTTCTCTCCGTTTATTTTCTTAGTAAATAAAAACCAGAAAAACAACTACAATGCATGTTAATCCTTATTGTTTCTTTTGTTTGTTTAGAAATGTAGAAGATGAAGGAGATTTTAGAGCAAGATCATAATAAACATAAAAGTAAAAACTTCTCTTCTTTATTTTCATTACTAAAGCTGAATACATATATAGGGAATTTCTTCTTCTTAGCCCTTGCTATATTGTCCTTGACCAGTACAATTTGTTACCAATTCCTTATCCTAAAGTATTATTTTCTTTTTGGGCTCAAAACCCATTTAGCCTAGTCAACCATTTTGGCCCATCACACTCTCACATGTTAAGCACATGATCATCTTTCCCTTACGTAATTTTCTTCTTAGATTCTTCACCGTCATTGTTCCCTTTGTTCTCCATTGTGGTTATCTTCTTCTTTATGTCAACAATTTCTTGTAAAATCAAACCTTTGGATGAGTAATTTCCTACAATAGTTATCTGTAACATATGTAGATTTTGCTGTATAGAAAATCTTGTGTAGGTTCCAGCGGATGGGGTATTAATATCTGGCCATTCACTTGCCCTTGATGCGTATAACATGACTGAGGAGAGCAAAAGCATGCGTCTGTTGCCAATGATAGTGAAGTCGGTGATCATATCATAATCCGCATTATGATATGATGATTAACTTCTCTTTTCTTGATAGGTTCAAAAAGATGCTAGCAAGGACTCATTCTTAATGGCTGGTCGTAATGCTGGTAGGTTATGTGTTTTTATGTCTTTCCTCGTTCTTTTCTGAATTATTGGTTTGCATGAATAAAAATGGTTGATTATGTAAAACAGAGAAAACATAGATCACTAGAGTCGAATGAGATGTGAAGTGTTTATCAAGTTTGTAGATTTTATTAATATGGTTAACCTTTATTCTGTCCACAAAGGCCATTGTTGTTGATATCAACACAGAATTGGGATTTTTGATGGCAAAACTTCTTTGCACGTAGAAAACGTTTTAATGATCGTACTGTTCAGTGTATTATTATTAAATATATTGATAAACTGATGGCATGTCTCAGTCAGGTTTGGCTAAATGGAGTGGTGGTTTTGATTGGTATTGTTGGTCTGTGAGTTGCTCTTGCTGTCTTCTTGGCTGTTCTGATCCGGTACATTTTTCTGTTTATGCAAGAAGTACATTGTTTATCTTCGTGTCTATATAATTTTGGAATACCTTCACACCTTTTAGTTCTTACCAAAAAAAACATATTGTTGTAAACTGTCTCTGTAACACGCATCGATTGATTGTCTATGTATTTCATATGAGAGCTGTGCAAGAATTGTCTCTGTTTCCTCCAGATGTTTTACTTTCAGTTTTTTCTGGTTGCTGAAGAAAAATAATGGCTTATGACCAATTCTTCTCTTCTCCTGGCTTATGACCAATTCTTCTCTTCTCCTTGCTTATTTTCAACCTGATGTCCAAGTTCATATTCATTGGAAAAGAGCTTGTGAAATCGTTTTGGCTTCACACAAAGGCTTTGTGGACGAAAGTAGTAATGTGACAGATTGAAGACGAGGTTTGTGAGAACCTAACACCTTCATGGTTTTCATTGTCATCAGTCTTTCACCTTGATCACTATCCTTGGTTTTGTGGGGTTGACAACACTTTTGAGTAACTTGTGTCGATAGTTTTGTCGTGCTTTTCCATTACATGTAAAGTAAGTTCCTGCAGATGTTTACTGCATGGTCTGGTTGAGATTAAATTGTACATGTAATTGTCTGGTTACGGGCTTCTTATTTTAAAAAGGTTATGAAAGACAAGGGAGCAAGAACTTTACAATGCGTAGCATTAGCATAAACCTATGAGGTTGACAAAATCCCAACAAGCGATGAGCTCTTAAAGTGGGTACTCCCAGGGGATGACCTCTGTTTGCCAGCTATAGTCGGTATAAAGGTAAAAAAGCTAACAAATACTTTATTTCTGCAGGTTGTTTTTTATATGGAGAGTACTAAAGATTGCATTATTGCTTTGTTTTTATAGAATGTGTTAGAGCAAAGTATAATTTTTTTGTTGAATTAAGTTTTCTTCTTTCAAAATTGTTTGTCCTTAACTTCTCTTACTTTGAACTAGATGCCATGGAAAGCATGATTTTAACAATTCGGTTTTAGGGTATCTCATTTTGGTTATACACATTCACGTGTTTTGTCTGATATTTCTGTTTTTTCCATCAACCTGTTTGTTTCTGTTGTCTTCTGGGTGGGAAAATCTTATGGCAATTAAGTGATTAACTATTGACTTTCATGTACGAATGGTAACTCACGATAACCTCGAAACTGCTAAAGTTATCGCACTGGAGATGGAGATCCACTGAACCTAATCTCACTGAAGGAAAAGCTTTTCGATTCTTATCTGATTCCGAGAGAGAAAAGATAGCCGATAAGATATCGGTATTTATCACCTAATGCTACTTACCAATTCTTAGTATGTAAAAGTTCGAATATTGAATGTCATGATAATTCTGTACATTTCCATATTGTTACAAGAAACAACATAAGGAGCAAGCCAGGGTATAGCTTCTGGATTGGTCTTTGTCCCGAGCATTACAAACATAATTTTGTTAGTTGGACACTTGAAAACTACCATGGTTGCTTTGTGCGTGCGAAAGGTTTTGGGGAGATCATCTCCCAATGACAAACTTTTGCTGTTCATGCCATTAAAAGAAGAGGCCATGTCGTCGCGGTAACTTGGAATTGAGGAGTTAGATGAAACCATATGCGAAAATGTTTTTTTTTTTCATTTTGTACCTTCAAAATCCATCTATCATTTTTTTTCATCTTTTTGGATAGATTTTCCTTACTGGTGTTTGAAATGAATTTCAGGCAGATATTGGCCGTGCTGTGTGAGAAATTGAGAATTCAAGGAACATAAGTGGCTAAGGAGAGCTTGGAAATCATCACCTTTTGCTTTATTATATCCACTTCAGTTGTTTAAGTTTGTCAAACTTTTGCCTTGTTATATTTCTTCGCATATAACTAACTACTTACGTTTGATATCCTCTTTAGCTGTTATTAATATTTCGAATAATGTTTTATGGCCAGCTTTCCGATTTATGTTGTCCTGAAGTTACACTGTTGAAACTAATGTTCATATACACATTCTGAGATTTATCCAGTTTCAGCTTGTTGTTAATGTCGCTACTCTCATCATTGCCGTTGTAGCTGCGGTTAATGCTGCACTCAACGTGCAGCTCACAGTTTCCTCCAGCTCTTGGCTCATTACTTATTTACCTTTAAAATCCAGTATCCTGATAAGGCTTTTATGGTTAATACGATGAAGAAGAAGAAGAAGAAGCGAGAAGAGAGAGAAGAAGCAGGGGACAAGGTGGGCCCGGTTCTGTTATCACTGGCGCAGCAAGGAGCAACCAAGGAGCAACAACAGAAGAATATTTCTGGCAGAGAATAATTAGTGGGTATTCGGTTAATAGAATAAATTGTGCATGTGCCACCTCAGCTTGATATTGTTGGGTGAGCCTTCTATATAACTAGGTTTTCATTTTGGGGAAAGGGGCATCGAAGATCTGAAATGTGGTGTATGGGAGAGAGGTATGCCTCTTGGTAAACAATTGTAGTCCTTCTTCGTTTGAGGAATACAGTTGGTATTATATATATATCTATATATTCTGTTCGTATCTTAACAAACTTGGTATCAGAACAACGATCCGCCATGCCTCCGAAAGATGACAAGTGTTTTGAGCATCTTGAAGATTTGGGAGTGAGCTTCTTTACTACAGACATCTCACTTTATGTAGATGATCTGTTAGTTACAGGTTCTTGTGTTCAAGAGATTGAGAAAGTGAAAAAGGAGCTGATGAGCTTGTTTGAGATGTTTGATCTTGGTCAAGTATCTTTCTTTCTGGGAATTGAGATAAATCAGAGTAAAGAGGAGATTTTTCTGTGCCAGATGAAGTATCTCTCTAAAATATTGAAGAAGTTCAAGTTTGATGGCTGTAAGAGTGTGAGAACACCCATGAACATGAAGGAGAATTTAGTGATTGAAGAAACATAAGAAGAGGTTGATGAAAGGAACTATCGAAGCTTGGTTTGATGTCTGATGTACTTAACAGCATCTAGACCAGATGTGTTGTTTGCTGTTAATGTACTTTCGAGGTTTCTGAATAATCCAAGGAGGAGTCATTTGGTGGCAGCTAAAAGGGTGTTGAGATATTTGAAGGGAACACTTGATTATGGTGTTCTGTTTAAGTCGGATTTTGATGGCGATTTGGTTGGGTTTGCTGATAGTGATTGGGCTGGTTCAACTCAAGACATGAAGAGTACCTCTGGTTTCTGTTTCATGCTTGGTTCAAACTGTTTTTCGTGGAGCTCTAAGAAGCAGGAGGTGGTGGCTCAGTCAACTGCAGAGGCGGAATTCATTGCCACAACTGCAGCAGCAAACCAAGCAATCTGGCTCAGAAAAATTCTCTGTGATTTGGGTTTCAATCCAAGGATTCCAACTCAGATCAATGTGGACAATCAGGCAGCTATTGCCATTTCGAAGAATCCTGTTTTCAACCTGATGTCCAAGTTCATATTCAAAAAAGCTAACAAATACTTTATTTCTGCACGTAGTTTTTTATATGGAGAGTATTAAAGATTGCATTATTGCTTTGTTTTTATAGAATGTGTTAGTGCAAAGTATAGTTTTTTTGTCGAATTAAGTTTTCTTCTTTCAAAATTGTTTGTCCTTAACCTCTCTTACTTTGAACTAGATGTCATGTAAAGTATGATTTTAACAATTTGGTGTTAGGGTATCTCAATTTGGTTATACACATTCACGTGTTTTGTCTGATATTTCTGTTTTTTCCATCAACCTGTTTGTTTCTGTTGTCTTCTGGGTGGGCAAATCTTATGGCAATTAACTGTTGACTTTCAGAAAACCTCGAAACTACTAAAGCTATCGCACTGGAGATGGAGATCCACTGACCCTAATCTCATTGAAGGAAAAGCTTTGTGATTCTTATCTGATTTCGAGAGAGAAAAGATAGCCGATAAGATATCGGTATTTATCACCTAATGCGATTTACCAATTCTTAGTATGTAAAAATTCGAATACTGAATGTCATGATAATGAAACAGAACTTTGTATTCGAAACTCTGTATTTAAAATCAACTCCCTATACATTTTCTGGTATTAGAGTATAATGTTTATGAGGTGTAAACCTCATAATGAAACAGAAGCTTTGTATTCGAAACTCTGTATTTAAACTCAACTCCCTTTACATTTTTTGGTAACAGAGTAAATACAACTTGTATTTTCTCTCTCTACATGTTCTCTCTCTATAACAAATTCTCTCTTTCTCGATCATACTCTTGGCAATCTCATAAAGTTTGAGATTTCAACTCAAATTCATGACTATGTTTTTGAAAGATTTGTCTCTTTTGAATAACATAAGCTATGTTTTTGAATTTTGTTTAAGGGGAAAACTCTCCAGATGTGGTTATGTGATTTCTGTTTAACATTTTAGCATGTTGAGTGGTGATACAAACGCTGATGCGGAAGATGAAGCTTCGATGTCAGAGGATGAGATCAATGGCAGCGTTTTGTCAGATGGGTTAAGGTTCCTAGATTGGACTGAGCCGCCATTGCAACTCTGCAACTCAAGACATCTGCAGCAGCTGCAGGCTTATATGCAAGATAGACTCTTCGACGCTTTTCATATGCTTCAGACCGATCCATCAATCCAGGTAACTCTGTTTCAACTTAGCTTTCCACATAAGATGGTCTTCCCGACATGAATCGGGATAGAAAACCAGATCATAATGTAGACTTGTTTGTAAATTGTAGAAGAAACAAACCTCTTTTCAAGCTTGATTACTTGTAGAAACGAAACCCATTGATCCATTATTGTCTACATTGCAGAGAAAGGTTGTATCATTGGCATCAGGCCATATGCAATGGGGGTTATGAACAACGAGGTTGTCCGTGAACTCATAACCAATGGTAAGAAAGCTCGAGCAAGCAGCTTCTCGGAGGAAATCGACTGATTTCACCTCTCTCTCTCTCTATATATATATATATATATATATATATATATAATACACATTATGTTTATGCAGTAGAATATGATCTTGTTGGGAAGCAAGCGTTGAGTTGGCTTGAGGCATTGAAACACGTGTTTGAAGGTTTGATAGGGAGACAAGTGTGGATCAAATTATATTGTTGTAGTTGGCTGTGTGTCAGTTTGTAAAAGCAGTTATGTAATTTGTAGAATCTATTTAAGTACGTTTGTTGAATAAAATATATGATAAGCATTGATTAAATTCTTCTTCTTCTCAAGAATTTCCTGTTGATAAATACAACCCTGAAATCTGTTAATTTTGGGTGTTGATCAGAAACAGAGGAGAGTGTGTGAGGATTAACAGTGATGTCAGAGCAATCTTGGATCTTTGTGGGATCTGTGTGGCGGTTCAATTTGAGAATCATGGAGCAAGCCGACACATCAGGAGCAGTGGTCCAGACACTGTCACCGCCAGTGTTCAATGGCGAGGGATATCAGATTTGGTCCGTGAAAATGCAGGCTTTGTTAGAGGGAGCCGATCTCTGGGAAGCAGTGGAGGAAGATTATGAAATCCCTCCTTTAGGCGCAAACCCGACTGTGACTCAATTAAGGAATCACAGGGAGAGGGTGACCAAGAAAGCCAAAGCGAAATCCTGCATTTTTTCTGCTGTAACGCCGACTGTCTTGATTAAAATCATGAAGTTGACTTCTGCAAAACTTATGTGGGATTTTCTGAAAACTGAATATGATGGAAATGAGAAGATCAAGAGTATGAAAGTGCTGAACCTTTGCGTGAATTCGAGAGGCAACAGATGAAGGAGGAGGAATCTGTGACGGATTATGTAGACCGATTGGTAATGATAATCAATAAGGTTCGAATCCTGGGAACAGATGTAGCAGATGACAAGATAGTTCAGAAGGTGTTGCTATCGGTTCCAAAAAGGTTTGAAGTCACCATGGCAACTTTGGAGAACACAAAGGAGCTTTCTGCATTGAAATTGCAAGAAATCTTGGGTGCTCTTCAAGCACAGGAGCAAAGGCGGCTGATGAGAAGGGAGGAGATGGTTGAAGGAGCATTGAAAGCCAAGGCAAAGGGGAAGAAGGCTGAGAAGAATAAACAGAAGAAACAAAAACCTGAGGGAGATGGGAAGAAACAGTCAAGTGCGTTATCAGAAGCTAATCCAAGCCAAACTTCTACCGAGCCTTGCAAACATTGCAACAAGACCAATCATCCTCATTGGAGATGTTGGAGGAATCCAAATGTGAAGTGTCGAGCTTGCAACAAACTTGGACACATTGAAAGGTTCTGCAGAAACAAAGGTCAACAAAATTCTGTGGCCAAACCTGCAGAGACAAGTGATGCTGAGAATCTGTTCGTTGCAACATGCTATGCTTCGAATAGTGACAAGAGAGGGTGGATTGTGGACAGTGGCTGCACTAAC